CCTAGAAACAAAGACAAAAGTCAGGAGAAACCAAAATAAGTGAGCTCAAGGGTCTCTCTTGCCTATTTCTACAGTATCCTCCTTGGGGTTCCTTAATTCCCCTGAGAACACAGTCACAGTCATCCACCCATCTGTCTAGTGAAGGAAAGCCCTGGAGAACTGGGTCCTTGCTTTCCTTTGTTGGAAGGACTGACTTTTAGAGCATCTTCATCCTTCCTAGCGAAGATGGCAGCAGAAGATGTGGCCTCACCCCCTCCTCTCCCACATACTTTATTCCTCTTCTTGGCATCTTTTCTTTCTTTTTCTTTTTTGTTCTCTCGACACTTTATTTGTATTTTATTTCTTTGTCAATTTTCATCAATTTCTCTTTTTTTTAATTGTTCTTTAAGTTCTTGCAGGATCGTTGTAAAGGTACCCACATGCCATGCTGGTTTGCTGCCTCCATTCCTTCATCACCTACATCAGGCATTTCTCCCAGTGTTATCCCTCCCTAACATCTCCACCCCCCGCTATCCCTCCCCTAATTCCCCAACCCCCAACAGACTCCAGTGTGTGATGTTCCCCTTCTTATGCCCAAGTGTTCTCATTGTTTAACACCTGTCTATGAGTGAGAACGTGTGGTGTTTGGTTTTTTTGTTCTTGTGTCAGTTTGCTAAGAATGATGGTTTCCAGATTCATCCATGTCCCTGCAAAGGGCATGAACTCATCCTTTTTATGGCTGCATAGTATTCCGTGGTGTATGTGTGCCACATTTTCTTTGTCCCGTCTATCATTGGTGGGCATTTGGGTTTGTTCTGTTGTAAACAGTGCCACAATGAGCATATGAGTGCATGTGTCTTTATAATAGAATGATTTGTAATCCTTTGGTTATATACTCAGTAATGGGATTACTGGGTCAAATGGAATTTCTATTTCTAGCTCCTTGAGGAATCGCCACACTGTCTTCCACAATGGTTGCACTAATTTACATTCCCTCCAACAGTGTAAAAGTGTTCCTATTTCTCAACATCTTCTTCAGCATCTGTTGTCTCCAGATTTTTTAATGATCGCCATTCTAACTGGCATGAGGTGGTAGGCAATACCATTCAGGACCTAGGCATAGGCAAGGACTTCATGACTGAAACACCAGAAGTAATGGCAACAAAAGCCAAAATGGACAAATGGGATCTATTTAAACTCCAGAGCTTCTGTACAGCAAAAGAAACAATCATTAGAGTGAACCAGCAACCAACAGAATGGGAAAAAAATTTTGGGATCTACACATCTGACAAAGGGCTGATAACCAGAATCTACAAAGAACTTAAACAAATTTACAAAACTAAACAAAACAAACAAACCAATCAAAAGTAGGTGAAGGATATGAACAGTCACTTTTTAAAAGAAGCCATTTATGAAGCCAACAACTTATGAAAAAATGTTCATCATCACTGGTCATTAGAAAAATGCAAATCAAAACCACATTGAGATATCATCTCATCTGTTAAGTTCTTAATGACAACGATTATATTTTTTCATTTCCAAGACTTCCCTTTGATTTTGCTTCATAAAAGTCAACTCCTGTTCTTGTTCATGGATGTAATACCATATTCCATTTCTCTAAAGATATTAATCACTTTGAGTAATGTTTAGTTCTGTGGGCTGTATAATCTTCTTGTTCTTATTATTCTCAGACTTTTGGAAATTTCTATTTCCAGCCACCCCTGAACCATGGGCTCATCTTTCCTGAACCCACAGGTATCTCAGCTTGGGCAGCCTGTCTGAGACGAGGGGCTGAAACATCTGCCAGTGTTTGGGCTTCTTATTTTTTGTGAGAACAGGAGATGGGTAAATAGAGCTAAAGACAGCAACTGGTCTTCAGAGCTTCTCTGGGCTCTCTGTCAGCAACCTGGGGCCCTTCCCTGTCTCTCCATCTTCAACACTACAGAGGAGGAGTGCTCAAGTGTTCACAGGACAAACTGCCCCCACTGCAACAGCTCTACCAAATGCTCATTGGCTGTTCCTAGCCCACTCCTGCTCCAGGGCTCCACACTTCCAGATGCACAGCAATTATTATGCTGCACCCATGCCTTAGTCTATCCTTTTCTCTTGCCCATCTCAAGTCCCGCCTCTCAGTCCCTCAGGAAATCCTTGAAGCCTCTAGACCATGAAGAAGCCTACTTCCTGTTTGTAGGTATGACTAGAGATGCATGTGTTTATCCCAGTTCCATAATTCTCTAGATTTGGTACGGTAGAGGGAGTCCGCAGCGCAGTTACTCCGTCTGACATATTGAAACCACCACATTCAAAATCTCACCCTTAAACTGAGCCTCCTGAAAAACACACAGGATATACAGGAATTCACGGAAACACTGGTACCGATTAGATATGTTGGTCATAGACTCAGTTTCCCCCTTTCCCTCTTTGAGTCTGCGTCACAAGAAACGACATTCCCAGACTTTTTTAACAGTCGGCTTCTGGGTAACTTCAGCCAATGGGAGGCACTGGTAGAAGACTGAAAGGACAATGTGGGAGAAGCCAAGGATCTCCCTCTGGATGGTAACTCAACTAGCACCTGTGGCTCTTCAGTGGCTGCAGCTGCTGCCAGACATCACTCAGTATGGTCTAGCTTCTGCCTGTCAGCTCCTACTCTTAGATTCTGATAGCGTCACCTTCTCCTATTGTCCCTGCAGTCTTAGGGTCATAGAAGTTCCTGCTGTTCTGATCTCTAGGGTGTTGCTTCATTTCCTGTTTAGCTTCTCAGCAAAACTGTCTCCTGGCAATCAATTTCCTGTATTAAATTCTTTGTGTTAAAAGGCCTAGAGTGGTTCTGTTTTCTTGGCTGGATCCTGACTTGTAGATCAAAATTCTGAAGAGACATTTTCAAAGACAGTAATTGGTAATTCCTGTCTTTGAGGTGAAAGGAGAACCACAGTGAAGATAGTATTAGGTTAGTGTTCTCAATATCTACCATATCCTAAGTTGTTTGAATAAACGACATAAGACTTTTTTTTTTAACATGAATTTTTGGCAATATGCTTCCCCTTAATTGCAAATATGCCACAGAGCAGTCTGGCAAGAAAAGCTTTAGGGGCTTTCATATTATTAAACGCAGTGTTCTGGAATTAGAAAACATTATCCTGGAGGAGTGAAAGCTTTAACTCTAATAGAAACCTTGCTAAGGTTTCTCAAGCTTTAGACCTACCTCAGGGGCAGCTAGGAAATAGTTTAAAAATCAGGAGACAACAGATACTGGAGAGGATGTGGAGAAATAGGAACACTTTTACACTGTTGGTGGGAGTGTAAATTAGTGCAACCATTGTGGAAGACAGTGTGACGATTCCTCAAGGACCTAGAAATAAAAATGCTATTTGACCCAGCAATCCCATTACTGGGTATACACTAAAAGGATTATAAATTGTTCTATTATAAAGATACATGCACTCATATGTTCATTGAGGCACTGTTTACAATAGCAAAGACTTGGAACCAACCCAAATGCCCATCAATTATAGACTGGATAAAGAAAATGTGGCGCATATACACCATGGAATACTATGAAGCTATAAAAAAGGATGAGTTCATGCTGTTTGCAGGGACATGGATGAATCTGGAAACCATCATTCTCAGCAAACTGGCACAAGAACAGAAAACCAAACACCCTGTGTTCTCATTCGTAAGTGGGTGTTGAACAATGAGAACATATGGACACAGGGAGGTGAACATCACACACCAGGGCCTGTTGAGAGGTGAGGAAGCTAGGGGAGGGATAGCAGGAAGTGGGGGGATTTGGAAGGGATAACGTTAGGAAAAATACCTAATGTAGATGATGGGGGGATGGATGCAGCAAACCATATACTTATATAACAATCTTACATGATCTGCACATGTACACCAGAACTTAAAGTATAATAATAATAATAAAGAAATAGTTTAAAGACAATTACCTTTTTTTTTTTTAAGGTGGGAGTCTTGCTCTGTCACCCAGGCTAGAGTGCAGTGGCGCCATATCGGCTCACTGTAACCTCTGCCTCCCAGGTTTTAGCAATTCTCCTGCCTAGCCTCCCGAGTGGCTAAGACTATAGGTGTTCACCACCATGCCCAGCTAATTTTTGTATCTTTAGTAGAGATGGGGTTTTAGCATATTGGTCAGGCTAGTCTTGAACTCCTGACCTCTGGAGATCCACCCACCGTGGCCTCCCAAAGTGCTGAGATTATAGGCATGAGCCACTGCACCCTACCGACAATTACTTTTATTCTCTCTCTTATTTACCATTTTCTCCATTGAGGGAGGGTTAGGTGAAATGACATTATATCCTTAGAAAAGTCCTATGCACTATTTCTTATTTGCAAATAGAGAATGTCGCTGCCTTCAAAGCCTGGCCCATTCTTACTACCCAACATGCTTAATAAGCAGCACAGAAACAAGAAAGCCCACTGTGATCAGAGAGAGAAAGAGAGCCACACTGTACCACTGATACGCCATATGGCTGCAAATCTAAAGGCTCTGAAAGATGCCGCACTTGTATTAAGCCCTGAAAACCTGCTTTCATTCCCAGTTTGAGTGTTTGAGCTATAATATATCGGCCATCCATTTATTAAAGGGAAGAGCTTACTTTGGCATGGGATAAATTGGTGCTTGTAGCAAGATGCTGTTTAACACAAAGGATGTTTCTTGAATTCCTTTCAGATCTGAGATCCACAGCTCAAGAGTGTTTGGTGTGTATGTTTTAAAATTGCATGACTATTATACAATTCCTTTTCTTCAGCTGGCATGAGAAGGATATTCCCATCCTCTCTTTGCTCCGTTCTTTACTTCCTCAAAGCTGAGGTGGCAAAAACACTGCCAGCCTTATCCAGCTTTTCATGGAAAGCCGCCACTCTCAACTGGCGCCTAAATGCAATTTCAGACTGTCCCGGGAGACCTTCATGCTTTGAGGTGAATTCTTAACATTAGGGCCAACAAAGAAGTTAACACAAACTTTCACTGTTAAAAGAAATAGAAAAAGAGTCTGCAGGCTTACTGAAGGAGCTCTGCTTCTGTGAGTGCCTCTGTCCTTGGCTCCCCAGTGACCATGGCCAGTTCATCCTTCAGTTCCTGGATTTCCTTTTGTAGGCGTTTAATCATCTACAAATGGCAAAGAGACAGAGAAAATGTCAACTTCTCATTAAGGTGAACTTGGTGACAGAAAACACACAGCTCTTAAAATTATCATCAATTTTATAGACACAAAAATGGATAATGGTATAAAAAGTCAGCTTTGTTATATCTTAATGTTTTGTCAAAATCATTCTAGAATTTTTAAAAACAAATAAAACATGACTGGTGTAACTAGAATCCCCTTCTGTATCCCCCTTCCATTCTTCCTGGGGTGATCACTGTACTGCATTTAAGGAGTCTCATTTCTCTGTGTGTTTTCATACATTTACTCCATATGTATGCATGTACCCATAAATAATGTATTGCATCATTTTGCAAGCCTTAAACTTTATGTAAATGTTACATTACTGAATATATTTGCAACTTGTTTTTGTCCTTCACATTATGTTTTTAAGCTTATTTATCTTCCTTCATGTGGCTCTAGTTCATTAATTTTCATGGATATATAGTATTTCAGTAAAGGAATATATCAGAATCTATTTGCCTCCTGTAGATGAATATTTAGGATGTTTACTTTTGCAATTATGAACAATGTTTCTATGAACATTATGAATCTCTCTGGGCACGTATGTAAGACTTTCTCTATAGTGTACACTTTAGAAGTAGGATTTCCTGGCTGGAGAGTATGTGCATCTTGCCTTTATTATATATAGTTAAATTGCTCATCAGATAAGCTGTACAAATTTGTATTCCTATCAACTATAGATGTAAGTTCCTGTTTCCCACGTTTTTGTCACTATGTAATATTGACAGGTACTTTCATTTTGCCAATCTGATAGGTGCAAAATGATATCTCATTTTGTTTCTAATTTGCATTTTTGTGATTATTTGTGAAGTTGATAATTTTTGCATATATATATATTGGCAGTTTGGGTTCTTTCTTGTTCAAATTATTTATTTATTTATAATTAATTAATTAATTTTTTTTGAGATGGAGTTTCGCTCTTGTTACCCAGACTGGAGTGCAATGGTGCGATCTCGGCTCACCACAACCTCCGCCTCCTGGGTTCAGGCAATTCTTCTGCCTCGGCCTCCTGAGTAGCTGGGATTACAGGTGTGGGCCACCATGCCCAGCTAATATTTTTTTTTGTATTTTTAGTAGAGACGGGGTTTCACCATGTTGACCAGAATGGTCTTGATCTCTTGACCTCGTGATCCACCTGCCTCGGCCTCCCAAAGTGCTGGGATTACAGGTGTGAGCCACCGCGCCCAACCAGCTCAAATTATTTATTAACATTCTTGCCCATGTTTCAATTTACTTGTTTTCATTTCCTTATTGATATGCTAGCTTCTTTCTATATTCTGGATGTGAATCCTTTGTTAGTTTCAAGAAGTGCACCTGTTTTCTCTCAATCTATGTCTTCACTTTGTGGTGTTCTTTTTGTTAAATGAAAGTTCTGAATTTCAGTAAAATCTAATTAGCACCTTCTTTCTTTATGGGTTGTACTTTTGTGTCATTTTAAAGAAAATCTATCTTATCCTAAATCACAGGAATATATTCTCATACGATCTTTTAAAAATGTTAAAGGTTTGATTTTTCAAATTTAGGTGAATTTTATTTTGTATAAGGTATAAAATAGAAATCAAATTTTAATTTATTTTAAATGGCTAGCCATACAAGATTTGCTATTACAATTATATTATATGTTTATATATACATATATAAATGTGCCTGTTTCTGGGCTGTTGGTTAAAAACATTTGTTTATTTTACTATACATGGCAATACCACACTGATTTAACTACTAAATCATAAGAAAGTTGGCATTTAGGTAAGATAAGCCCCTTTCATCTTATTCTTTTCCAAAATAGACTTGGCTATTCTTGGCCATTTGCTCTTCCATGTAAATTTTAGACCCAAATTGTCAAATTCTACCAAAGGCTCTCCTCAAATTTTGACTGGAATTATTACATTTAATTAAAAGGTTAATTTGGTAGGACATCAAACTAATGATATTAAATTTTCCCATCCATAAACATGGTATAGCTTTCCACTGATTCCTTTATATAAGGATTTATAATTTTCTTTATAATTACCTTACATGTCTTCAATTATATTTTCTATCAGGAATTTAAAAGTTTTTGTTGATACTGTAAGCAGAATTTTTATAAAATTATATATTCTAATTGTTGGTTTCTGCAATATAGGAAAGGCAACTCATTTTTATGTATGGATTATATAACAATTTTCTCAAACTCTGGAGGTTCCATTTATCATTAAATACTCTTGGATGTTCTATATAAGCAATAAAATTGTCTACAAGTAATGATATGATTTTCTTCTTTTCTAATTCTTATACATTTTATATCTTGTTATTGTCTCATTTTCCCAGCTAGGAATTCCAAGTTCAATTCTTAAGACATTTCTGTCTTATTTCTTCTAACATTTCACCTTTAAATGATGTTTACTATAGTTTTTGGTTGATACCCTTATTCAGTTTAAAGATGTTCACTTATATTCACAGTTTGATGTGTCTTTTCAAAGTATGGTTGAATGCTTAATATACTCAAGCACTTTTTCTGCAACTAGAGATGAAATAATTTCTCTCTTTAAGCTCTGAATGTGATAAATCAACTAATTCATGTGATTAGTATTTTAGTATAAACCATCTCAGGTATGTAAAATACTGTAAAAGAATACCTTGTACCACTACTTAGCTTAAGTGAACATCCAGGTACCCACTACTTAAGAAATAGAATATTACAGACCTGTTTAAAGACCTCACCCCTACACAGTCTTCCCTGAATGAATTCCCCATTACCATTATTCTAAATTTGGTTTTAATTTTTCCCATTTTTTTCTTATACTACTCACTGATGTATTTTCTAGTGATAGATTACCTTGAATTCCCAAAATAAACCCAACTCAGTCATGATGCCACGTGTCATATTAATAGTCTTCCTATCATAATGCAAAATTAGCAGGCTTGATCCAGCTTTTATTCTTCCTTGAATATTTGGTATTACTCAAAACTTGAAAGAAAATGTTTCTTTCTGGTCCCTCCCTCCCTCCCTCCCTCCCTCCCTCCCTCCCTTCCTTCCTTCCTTCTCTCAGTAGCTTTACTCATTAGACTAAAAGGTTAGTAAATTTGAACTTCAAATCTATGTGAGGTGGAGCTAGGTTTCAAATGTTCAGAGAAACTATTTTTGTTCTGCCTAGAGTCCAGTCTAGAGTGGACAAGCTGCACTGACATCTCCACGTGGTAGTGGATAGATTGTTTCCTTTTCTAGTTCTCCCTTTCACTGGTTTTATGTTGGGGGAAAGGAGAGGATGTCTTAGGTTCAGTACCCATTGCAACATCCCAGGGCTTTGATCTCTGTTCCTTTGCTACAACCTCCTTTACATCTCCACTCCAGGACAACTGCAGCCTCTGCTTAGTTTCTGGGCTCTGGAGAATTCCCTTATTTCCTTTCAACCTTACATATGTATTTCAAAGATGCTTGGGTATACAAGTGAGTTTCAGATTATTTGGACCATATCAAGAGGACCAGCAGTCCCAAAGAACATGATATTGAGTATTTTGAACATCTCAGTGCTCCTAGAATTTTACTGAAATATACAGGATCATGCGGGTTTTGTTTGCTTCTTTAAAAAAAAATAGTCTTAGGATCATCAATCTAACACAGAATGAAAATCCTGAGACAGTCACTACACTGGCACCTTTCTCTGTTAAACTAATATTGATGTCATATTCTATTTTTTACTAAGGCTTTTAAAGTCAAATCTAATACCAAATTATCTTTCTGTCTTATTGAATAAAAATCTCAAAACTAAGCCAAGTTTTTGTGGTTCTGAGATGACTGCAGTTATGCCTCCCATCCAGTTACTGAAGGAACCCTGGTATTAGAGGCATCCTTCGGAGATTTGAGCTCATGCCCCATCACCACAGGCTCTGGCCTTGTTCATAGTTCTTTTATCATTTTGATTCTCTGAGGTACCAATACTAACGAAGCAGAACAACTCCTTGGTGATCATAATCATATAGGCTGGCTCTATATTTGGCATTAAATTTTGACAGTAAGATACAGGAAATGCCACCCAAGTTTTGTCTTGAGTGGTTTGTAGGACAAATTCTCAATTGTCACTTGTGCCTCACACAAGCTCTGTATATAAATGACTGACAGTAATGTCAGTTTTTAGAAGCAATTATAAAAGAGACCAGGAACCAACACTTGTCAATTACCAGATTAGTCTGCACCAGGAAGACCTCAATATTTGTTCAATTATCAGCTACTAGCTTTTGATTCCTGATTTCTCTTTTCTTCAAAACTCTCACAGACCTATATCAAACACATAGTAATGTTTACCTTTCTTTAAATTCTTCACGTTCCTTCAAAGGAAAGTCTCTAGTCAAATGCAAAAAACAAAACAAAACAAAAACCCAAAAAACAAAAACGCTTCAATGTATGTAATATGTTTATTTTCCTTAAATTAATTTTTGTCTAAATTTTGAACTAATTTTTGTCTTGGGGCCAATAACTTTAACTCTCTCATTCAGTACTGTAATGCTATCGAGGTGCTGGAAGGGTAGGGACAGCAACAAAATCCACCCTAGGAGTTCAGTTCCACTTGAATCATGCCTTTTCTTTCTGTCTCCTTTCTCCAGCAGGAACACTGTGTACTGCTGATTCCTCACCAGGGACTATCCTGAAATAGATCCTGCCTCACTCATTGGTTTCTCCAGAAGAGAACTCCATCAGAGGAATGTGGTGCTTTCTGAGGCAAGCAGGATAAAACAGATAGCCTCATTATTCCTTTGTCCTCCTTTCCCTCTGTCCTTACATGGGGAAAAGAGGAGAAAAGACAAATAAGAGGAAGTAATTATGGGAAACAATTAATTTGATAATTTTTTTAGATTTGGGAAATTTGTAAATGAAACACTGTTGGTAAGACTTCACATCTTTTTTTTTAATAATGCAGATTATCAAACCCACACTAGCTTATTTACTAGAGAAATAAAAACTGAGTGATTTGAAAAATAATGTAACATTAATTATGGATTTTGACACAGTTGAGATATTTTGTTTTAACATTTTCAAAGTTGGCATAAACGAATTCAGTGTTGTATTTCATTTACAGAAAACCAACAAAATAGAGAACAGAAAACTTCTGCATTTATGATGAGCTAAATTATTACCATGTAAATTTTTTTTTTTTTTTTTTTTTTTTTGCTTAAAAACAGTGCTTTGATAAAGCAGGATTTATTGTTATAAAACTAGAAGTTTGTTGTTCCACGGATCAAACCAATAATGAATTTTTTGAAACTCCAGAACAAATAACAGAGTATGTAAAATATGGTTCTACTGAATATGAGGAGTTCTCTTTCTTTCTGAGCTTTCATATAAGGTGGACTATTACAGTCTCTAGATAGTTAAAGTGATATATTTTGAAAGGCTAAGTTCTGCATATAAATGTAATTGTGTGTGATTCTGTTGGATGAGTCCTTAGGACTCCCTGCATGTCTCCGCAGTGAAGCAATAAGGAACAGCCAGTAGGAAGAGCAGAGGCTCTTGAGTTAAACTGCCTGCGTGTGAAACCTGCCTCTGCTACTTATTAGCACGATGACTCTGAACAAGTTATCAAACATCTTTTTACCTCAGTTTTGTTATCGTTGAGGTGGAGATAGAGATAGCATCTACTCATAGGTTATTTAGAGGATTAAATGAATTAATACGTTTCCACCACTCAGAACATTCCCAGTAGAGAGTAAGTGTGCCTACAAGTTTTAGCTAATCTTTAATATACTTTAATATATTTTTTTACTATGGTTGTAAGTTGCTTACCAATCTAGGATCAATTTCTTCATTAAGAACAGCTTCATTCTTTATGAGTGCCACTCGCTGTGCAAATCTGCAGGTAGATATAGACTCCTAAGAAAGCAAAGTAACTTCTTAAAATATTATGGCATAGATAGATCTTTCTCTCTAGATAAAACGTAATTTTTTTCCCCCAGAAAAAAGATACACACCTAAAGAGTGATGTGTATAAAAATCACAACGAGGAACCAAGCCTCTAAATTAGGAAGGTTTGCTCTAGAATAGCAGTCCCCAACCTTTTTGGCAGAGGGACTGGTTTTGTGGAAGACAATTTTTCCATGGACAAGGGGTACAGGTGGTGTGGTTTCAGGATGAAACTGTTTCAACTCAGAACATCAGGCATTAGATTCTCCTAAGGAGTGCCCAACCTAGATCCCTTGTATGTGCAGTTCACAATTGGGTTTGTGCTCCTATGAGAATCTAATGCCACCACTGATCGAAAGGAGGTGGAGCCCAGGCGGTAATGCTCACTCTACCACCACTCACCTCCTGCTGTGCAGCCCAGTTCCTAATAGGCCACAGACCTGGTACTGGTCCACGGTCTGGGGGTTGGGGACCCTTGCTCTAGAACATCATTTTTAAACCAAATTTTATTTTGACTTAATAAAATTACCAATGCCAAAAAGTGAGAGATCCTAAGGTCCTAAGTGGCAGCTGTTATAGTACGTGTTTTCAGTTGTCGATTGCTTAGACCGGAACCACATATATAAATCATAATCACAGCAAGAGCCATAATCCACACACATGAAGGATCACAAAATAAAGCTTTATAACAGGTCAAAAAGAGAGGCAGTTCAAGGCATCTTACAATCAAAGTCTTGGCCTTGTTTTAAGAACGACCTTGCCTGTTTTCCTCTTCTAGGGAATGTCTGGATCCCAAACATTAAACATCATCTGGTTCTAAAGCAACCCAGAAGAGCCATTCAGCAGCTAGTCCTACCAAGGCATCTTGATTGCTTCACTCAGCGACATTTCTAGGGACACATCTCAGAGATGTCTCCATGGTATCTAGATCTTAGTCATCAGGGCAAAATCAAGCAAGAGAAGTGGAGAGGTCCGCTCTCCCATTTCTTTGGGTGAAGTATGGCCAATCCATCAGCAGGCCTTCCAAATTTGCGGATGAGGCTTCTTCAAACTATCCTGTGCTATATGAAGTCAATTCTCAAATGAAGTTATTATAATAATGACTAATAGCCCAAAGCTGTGAACTCTGTTGGGTACTGCCCTCTGAAGACATATCTCAACCCAACTGAAAAAGTGGAAACCCACCCAAGATCCTCAACTCTGTCTCACAAGCTAGCAGTGAAAACCCAGTTTAAGATCACCAGAAACGAGAGCCAACATACATCAAGATTCCTTTTCTCTAAAGAGAGTGTTGCAATCATAGTTGTCATGCAGTTCCCTCCCAAACTGTCTCTTAGGACACTGGTCATCATGGAGTTTCTATAAGGAATGTGCGAACGATGCTTTTCTGAAAGAGCGATGATAACCTGTGGTAAAGTAGAAAGGTAATGGGATCAATTTAGCAGAAAATGCACACCTGACGAACAACAGAGCTTCAACAGCAATGAAAATATAAAAGGAAATAATAACTAAATGCAGCGTGAAGCCCAAAACTTGAGAACAGCTTAACAACAATATTCAGTACAAGATGGTAAAGACTGAATAAAGTAAATGCAGCATAACTGTGGCATTGTGAGCCCCATAATTTTTGGACAAATGAAATAACCTGTATGGAATTGGATACACTATTATTCTGTTTTTAGCGATTGGAAAATGTGTATAAAAACACAAGAGTAAAACATGCCTGATTAATACTGCCAAAATTGGGCTGTACACCAGTAAACAGGAACTTAGGGAAACAGTAAAGGATAGTGGTTGAGGTCCCAGATGCTCAAGCAAGACTGTCTAGGTGCAAGTCCTAGCTTTCCTAGGGCACATCACTCAACATGCCTCAGTCTCCTCATCTGTAAAATGGGAATAAAATAGTACCTAACTCAAAGGTAGTTGAGATGATTAAAAGAGTTAAGATGTGCATATTACTTTGAATAGTACCTAGCCCATAACAAGTACTGTATATAGGCTTGTTCCGATTGCAAGCTACAGGGGTAGTTTACCTTGGTTCAACTCAGGCTGGCTCATCTCACTCTTTATGAGTTCCTTAGGTACTTAATAAGAGGATACTAGATGGATAGATGGCAGATGGAGCAAAGGCTGCTGGGGTTGTCCCAAAAGGAGGCACCTGGGGCTCAGGGTTATCCTGGGCAGACGAATCCAGTGCTAGAATGTTCTTTACAAAGCGGCAGTAATCAGCCACCCACAGGCTGTGTCTTCAAGGACATCACAGGACCTTGGCTCCTGAAAATACCTCCGCCAGCACCTATCACTGGTCTAGTCCTCCCCTTTCCCAGGAGTGTAATTTCCACCACCAGAACCTCCATTACAATTTCGGTTTACAAAACAAAAAGGGAGCATTGTTTTTTGAAGGCTGTTTCGAGCAAAATATACAACTATACCACTAGTCTCACTCTAAATTCATGACCACAGATGTTAGTACAATTCAGTAATCCTGTGATCTCTCTCTCAGAAATCACTTTTCAACTCACAGAAATAAGACCTTCACACTTTCTTTTTTTTTCAAATCTTTGTTCACCTTCTCCTTCTCTCCTCAATTTCACTTTGAGCTGATGGCCACACTTCTACTAGACATGATAGATATAGATTCAGAACCCTGACCAGAGCTATCTCATGTCTCCATCATTAAAGCCCCTATACACTCTGCCTTTCACCTTCTTACTGCTCTGCTGCTGTCTAAGGCCAGTCCTCCATCCTTGCCCTCATCTGTTCTCTCCTACCTTTCTCCTACAATTTCTTCCTCTCTCATCTGAAATAATTTCCCTTTCAACTGCACAATTCCCATTCTGCATGCCCACTACAGTCCTAAATGAAGATGGCTCTTGCCAAGTTCATTAGCAACCTGCATTGTACCAAAAGCACTGATTGCCCTCTTACTGGACTTCTGAGCTGAGTAAGCATGCAACACTGGTACTCACTGCGTCTCCTGGGAAACACTGTTCATTTGCTAACTGAGACACCACACTTTCCTGGTTTTCATCTTTCCTCAAAAACTAGTTAATGAATGTTTCTTTTTCTTATTCCCAAATTACAAACTTTGGAGTGTCCCAGGGTTCAGTTCTTGATTCTCTTTTCTGTCTTATCTACACTCTCTCCCTATGTAATCTCATCCAATCACCTGGCTTTAATTATTATTTTATTAACTTATTTATTTGAGACAGAGTCTCTCTCTGTGGCACAAGCTGGAGTGCTGAAGTGCAGTGGTACGATCTCAGCTCACTGTAGTCTTTACTCCTGGGTTCAAGTGATCCTCGTGCCTCAGCCTCCTGAGTAGCTGGGATTACAGGCATGCACCACCATGCCCAGCTAATTTTTTGTATCTTTAGTTGAGACAGGGTTTTGCTATGTTGGCCAGGCTTGTCTCAAACTCCGGGCCTCAAGTAATCCACCCACCTCGGCCTCCCAAAGTGCTAGGATTACAGATGTGAGCCACCATGCCCAGCCACTGCCTGGCTTTTAAATGTATCTATATCCTGATGTCTTCCCAATTTATACCATCAATCTCAACCTCTTCCCTGAACTACTATCATCTTGGCAACTCTCCATTTCTACCAGTTTCTATTCTTGATTTTCTTTCCTCTCTGCCTTCAAGCCTGATTCTTTCTCAGATCTTACCCATAATCATTAAGGCCCCACCATCAACCCGGTTGCTCAGGCAATCACCCTTGATTTGCCCTCACCCAATATTCAATCCAACAGCAATTTCTATTTGGTTTACCTACAACACTTGCCAGGAATTGGACCACTTCTTACCACCTCTTCTTACCACCACCACTCCAGTTCAGTCCTCTGGGGTCCCTTGCTTGGGCAACCACACAGGCCTTGGATTAGTCTCCCTGCTTCTACTTTTGTCCTTCCATGATCTGATCTCCACGTAGCAGCCAGAGAACTCTCCACACAATGTTAAGTTATGCCAAGTCACTCCCTAATACACTTAGCATAATATCCCAGCTCCTATGTGATCTGTCCATCTACCTACCTGACATCATGTCCTGTCATGTTCCCTGTGCCTGCACTGGCCTTCTGATTGTTGATTCAGCATGATGAGCTATCCCCACACCAGAGCCTCTGAAACTGCTGTTCCTTTTGCCTAGCATGCTGACCCAGACTTCTGTGCAGCTTTCTGCTTCTCGTTACTCACATCTTTGCTCAAATTTTGTTTTCTCACAAGGGTTTCCCCTGGACACCCTATCGAAAATAATACACCTACCTCCAGCCTGTTAATCTATTTCACTTTTCTTATAATATGTATCACTATTAAAATTATATCGGTACTTATTTGTTGTCTGCTTCCCCGCTAGGCTTTCTGCTCTGCAAGACCAGAGATGTTGTCTCTTTTCTTCACAGCTCGACCCCCGCTGCCTAGAACAGTGCTCAGAACTCAGTAACATGGCAGAAACAAAGCTGTCTTCCTCAGCTCTCATGGCAGCCCTCCTTCTAGTTTGACTTCCTATGGAATTACTTCTCCTAGTCTGTCTTGAAACTCATGTTTTGCTTAAGACATAGCTCCACCATGCAGACAGCCCTATGTGGGGTTTGGAGATGAGCAGTGAGAGGTGGTAGGCATAAGGAGGAACTTCAGATTTGTGGGAGACATGGTGGCAGAGTCATCTGATTCTTCTCAGACAGCTGTGGGGAAGTTTCTGGAATTCAGTGCCATGTGGCTATACAGTAATTCTTTGCAGCACAGTTCAGTGGTGTGGTTAGGTGTGTCTCCTGGTTGCTCTGCGTAGCAGCCAAATCCAGTTTTCTGATTTTTTTTGAGATTCTTTATGTTTAACAAACCATGCTTCTTAAAATAGCTAGAGTGGATTTTCCAGTTTACAACTAAGAAATTTGACAAATATTACATGTGCTCATCAAATTTTTGTTAAATAAATCAAGTAATGAATGAGAACATGACTTAGTATGTCCTAGGAAGGCAGCGTGAAGGTCATCAGTATGGAAGGAGGTTTGAGAGAACTAAGTTTCAGCATAACTGGGAAGGATGTGGGGAATATGGCAGACCAAAGTCAAAGTGGCAAGAGATGCCAAGCAGATCTCCAGGCCCTAAGAATGAAGAGGACAGATTAAGCATCTAAAAACATGCAAGGAGGGCCCAAATATCCAAACAGGGGCTGGGCTGACAGATGTGCAGAGAGTGGCATTATTGCTCTTAAATAATTTCTCTAAGTACTTTGAAGTCCTTTTATAAAACAAATGTCACTGGTTTTATCCCGCTCTAGGAAACAATATTGATGTCTTTTCATTCAATGGCTTTATTGACAACTTAAAGGAGAATATGCTTATTAAACTTCCTGTTGATATTAATTTTCTTTTTTGAGGCTGAGTTTCGCTCTTGTTGCCCAGGCTGGAGTGTAATGGCATAATCTCAGCTCACTGCAACCTCTGCCTCCCAGGTTCAAGCGATTCTACTCCCTCAGCCTCCCAAGTAGCTGGGATTACAGGCGTTTCTACCACCACACCCAACTAATTTTGCATTTTTAGTACAGATGGGTTTCACCGTGTTGGCCAGGTTGGTCTCAAACTCGACCTCAAGTGATCCACCCACCTCAGCCTCCTAAAGTGCTGGGATTATAGGCATGAGCCACTGTGCTCGGCCCCAGTTGATATTAAATTAATCATGTGTTCATAAACTTGCTTTTGGTTATAAGAAACAGAAAATGCAACCCAAACTGGTTCTAATTATAAGGAAAATGTATTGATTCATGTGATTGAAATAGGAAATGCTTTAAGTTAGAAGGAAACCAAAAGATTAGTGCTACCATCAAGGACTTAGTTTTTGCTCATATCTCTGCTATGTCTTCCATGTGGTAGAAGTCAGTCTCTTCTTGTGGCCCCACAATGGTTGCCAAAAGCCCTGATGTTACATACTTCCTTATTCATTACTTAGGTGAGAAAGAATTTTTCTTTCCTAATCATTAAACAAAATTCCTGATCTTCAGTAGAAATGAGCTTGGGTCCTGGGCCCATCCTTGAACTAATCACAGTAGCCAGGAGAAAGACAGGCCCAATTCACTTAAATCAGTCAGGATCTACCTGACAAGTCGGGATGGGCTCCTGGATGCGCTTCTCACTGGCATGGACATTTCATAGGCAATTCCAACGTCCTCTCTAGAAAGGGCTTTCTAAAGAATTGGAGATCAAATTGGGATGATAGATTAGAAAACACGGTCTTAAAAATGGAAAAAATGAATGTAGTCATCTTAGGGAAATCTCTTAAATAAAGTGAGCCTCAGTTTCCTCACTTGTAAAAGTAGTATTGAAATGTCTGTCTATCTCACAGAAATGTTTTAAAAATTAATAGAGATAATTTCTGGAATCATTCTTAGTAAGCAAAAAAACACTCAGTGTTATTGAAAAAAAAGTTCTTTGTAAAATGTTCTTCATGTAATGTTCTTTATGAAACTCTTGAAGACTAATTTTCACCGTATTAACACACTTGTGGGCCATTTCTTTAGAAGAGGACCCTGAGAAGGTATTTCTAAATACCTAAAGCTCTCAAGGAGTTTGGAATACCATAAGCCCAGCCCACTTGGAACAGATGTAAAACTTTGGAATGACCCAGAAATAGCAGATATTCAGGAAAGAGGCAGAGGTAGATTATTCTTTGTGGGGCTGCTGTGAGTTCTTAAATTGGGCAGGAATCAAATTATCTGAAAGGCACAAGAAAATGGGGTAGTCATAAAACCTGACTTTTTAATTTTTATTCTTTCCATCTTAGATTGCATGTACAAATACAACAGCAAATATTCCTGAAGTCATTCTTTAAGCGACAAGGAGTGGAACCTCACATTATGCTTAATAATATCTCCAAGTATCTAGAAACTGTGCCTGCAATCAATAATTCTATTTACTATTTAATGAGTTAAAGGTTTTTTTTTAAAGGAGGTCAGAAGAGTTTGGAAAATTATCCTATGAAAATTGACAAAGATTTGGAGTGTTACAACTGGCACTGACATCATTACCTTCTCCCCTTAACAAAACACATCCAGTGGAAGCCAAATAGAAACTGAAATTCTGAAGAAGTCACATTTATTTTGAATAATGGCTAAAGGCAACTCCAATTCTGATTTCTGTAGTGGTCCAGAGCAAGCACTTAATTTCTAGTGGTTTCTCACTTGATGTTTGGGCTGATAGAGGTTATGGGTCACACCAGGAGCACGCAGTGAGATTTAGGACAAGTATGCAAGTCTCCCTTTTCCTCCCATAAACTCAATTTCTAGGGCCAAGATGTTCTCTGTTACTGTGGCTTAAAATGTTTTTGAGGAAACTTTTTGTAAAAAGTACTGCATACACAAGGAGAACTCCAAAACCAACAATACTCTGGCAAACAGAAAATTATTTACTTGTGAACACACAAAGTACATTCAACTCAGAGAGGCTACCCACTTTGAGCAGGTGTGAGATTTCACAGTTATGGCCAAAAAGTAATTATAATGCTGCATGGAATTTGTGGAACCAATGTAGGCTAATTGAAGTAAGACAAGTTACCAAATGATTTCCCATTCCATCTCTATCTTATATATTGATTACCAACACTCAGATGGATTTCTATTACAGATTTCAAATAACTGTACTGCTAAGTATTTATTTGTATGCTTTGCTATTCTGCTGGCTAACATGATAGCCTGGCCTACTTCCAGTCATTCATTTATCCCCATTGCCCAACATAACTCAAGCCCCAGTAAACATTCAATCACAATTTGTTGAATGAATAAATGAAGCTAATTAAATTAAATTGTGTTACATTTGCAGTCTTATTAGTCCCATAATAAAGCACTACATAAAGAGAAGTTGATTAACAAAGTTCCTTGAATTTTATTATTCATTAAATATCTTCCTACTCTATTATTCTTATTCCTATGTACTCCTTGGTTTTCTCTTATTTCTTTCTGTGTGAAATTCGAAATTTCTCTTCTACCGACCTACTTATTCTCTAGCACCTACTCCTAGATTTACTCAGCCTCACATGTCCATGCTCAAAGACTAGTTTTTCCATATTTATGTTTTTCTTTCCTCTCCCACTAATCTCTTCTCTCTCCATTATGTTATGTTGAACCTCCTCTTTTCCTGTGAAGACACTTGTATATCAGTGTAAATGGTTAACAGCTGGAGTGATGCAGTGGGTGAAAATGAAACATCAGTTACAGAGACCAAGGACCAATGACATGTGAATGTCATTGAGACCCTGAGCAAATTCACCTCCCTGGGCTGGAGCTAAGAGCCGACAGGCTCGCAATTCCCACTACCTGACACGCTCTGCCCCATCCTTAATTGGCTGAACCCTACTCATTCCTCCAGTCTCTGTGTGGTATCAGGCCCTAAGAAAACCATCATCACCTCTCACCTCCTCAGTCTCAGTCAGATACCCCACTGCAACTCTTCTCACTCCTTTTACTTTCTCTTCACTGCTCTCACCTGGCTTACAGCCATATACTTAAAGAATATGTCTTTAATTCCTGTCTCCCTACACTGAACCGAGAGGTCTTTGAGGAGAGGACTGTTTCTATTTTGTTCACTACTAGGCACCAGTGCCTAGTGCAGCCCTCAGCACATTGTAGTTCATTATAAATATTTGTTAGATAAGTAAATTAATGATATAGAAAATCCAATGCCACATAGCCCTTAAGACTACTCACACATGGCTGTCATAAGAATTTTGAAGGGAAGAAATGTGAGGAGAGAAACAGTTTTAGTGACAAATAGCAGCTTGTAAAGGCTTATAGGATTAAAAAAAAGAATTAAGGGCACAACATTTCTCTTGAGTGATTACAATTGGTGGGAAGTCTGATTCAACTGATGAACATAATTTTGTATGAACAGATGGATGTAATGGAAATTAAAACAGACAGCACTGCCATCCGAAACAAGCAGATGAATTTCTTTGAAATAAAGCCCTTTGAATACAGCCCATTATGTTTTCATATCAAAGTTCTGTGAGTGTTCTATTAAGTAAAAAGTTAAGTATAAGCAGTGTGTAATATTTGAGCAAGAAAGAGCTTAGGAATGTTGACTCTTGTGAAAAATACTAAAATGATCTGAATGCCAGGCTGGCCTTAATCTCTGGGTGCTGCATGACTGGGATTCATCTGGTTGGAGTGTAGCCACGTGTACCTTGCTCAGAGAGGGTCCCTTAGGTTTCTCTCCACCTGCTTTTTTAACCAATGTGACCATTACATAGCATTTAACACTGAGGCAACATCCATCTCAGAAGGATTCATTAAGCAGTTAAAAAAAAAGCAGAAAAAAAAAATTTTTTTCCCCTCTAATCTTTTAGCCGAATCATTAACAAGTCCTTCAGCCTTACCAAGAGTCTGTGCTTCTCCACTCAGATTTTTTATTGTGTTTCTTATTTATTTTATTTTATTTTTTCAATTTGGAAGTAGTTGCCATCTTTAACATTCAACTCACAGCCCTTATACTCAGAAAGCTAAAAGGAACTTGAGAAATCATCTAGTTCAATGCACTCATTTTAGAGATGAATATATTTTTTCTGAAGGATTTATTTAGCTAAATTCAGATGAGTGTTCTCTCCCCTGGCATTAAATCCAGAAATTAAAAATAGAGCCCAAACTGGGGTGGATTGTAATCAGCTTGGGGTAGAAGTAGGAAGAGAAAGCTACAAGTCTAAGAGAACCATCACGGGGTCAAAATTACCAACTAAATAAAGTCTCCCCAAGCAGAAAATGTGTCAGCCATCTCAAAGTTATGTTCCCTCTGTTAATCTACTAGCTTGAAAACAGGCAACAGGAAGCCAATTTTAACTTCTACTTACCAGCTACTAATTTTACAATAAGGCAGTAAGACAAAAAGTGAAAAAAGGTATAGGCTGTGAAGCCAAGTAAATCTAGAATCAAATCCTCACCCTCCCCTAGCTGGGTAACCCTGTGGGAAGACCTTTGGAAGACTTGAATTTTAAAATCTATATGATGGGGATAGCAACTAATACCTACAATCTAGGGCTATGGTGAGGTTTCAATAAAACGGAAGATACAAAATGCTAGTAGATCTCCCAGTGTTCCTGGCAGCATTAGTCACAATAGCCAAAAGGCAGAAACACTGCAACTAACTATTATACATTCATCCCCTGATGGATAGTTGCATTGTTTCTGCCTTTTGGCTATTGTGACTAATAGACATAGACATAGAATTGGATATTATGCAGTTTAAAAAAGGAAGAAATTCTGAGACATGCTACAACATGGATGAAGCTTGAAAACATGCTAAGTGAATAAGTCAGACACAAACAGACAGCTGTTGCATAATTCCACTTACATGAGATACCTAGAATAGGCAAATTTATAGAGACAGAAAGTAGAGTAGAGATTACCAGAGACCAGAGTATAGGGGAATGGGGAGATTCTGTTTGAGAGAATAAAAAACCTTCAGAAATGGATAGTGTTGATAGTTGCACAACTTTATAAATGTACTTAATGCCACTGAGTTGTACACTTAAAAATTATTAAAATGGCAAATTTTATGTTATATTTCTTTTATCATAATAAAAAAATTCTAATAGAATGCCTGATACATAGTATGTGGTCAGCAAATGGTAGCTATAGTTATTAATGCATCCCACTCTGCCCATCTTACCTGCTCTAAGTAATGTAGTGACAAGTTGATATACTTGGCCTCTGTTAGAAGATGGCCCCCTACTCCAGTCTTTGCAACTCGCTCTGAACCAGCCAGGTCAACCAAATGAAGTTTGGCATGTCGTACAGTCACAGATCCTGGTTCCTTGCTTGACAAATGAACAGTAAAAATGCAGTGGGAACGGGTTGAAGCTTGGTTCATAGGAGTCTATAAAAAATTGCAGAACAAAAATCATTTGAACAATGAGAATTTTTGAAGAATATCAAAAGTTTTAAAATGATATTTTTAGGGATAAGACATTTCCCATGAAGCCAACTGTCAACTGCAGCAAAACCACTTGTAACTCAGACCTTTAAAGTAAGTTATTTTTAACGTATTACCTCTTGAATTACTGATGACCAATGCAGATGGTTTGACTCAGAAAGCGAGAAAAGAGTTCTAATGAGGTATAGATTGAGTCCTCTTGCCAATAGAGCTTTATTTTATCACCTGACTATAATCCATACATTAACCTTGGCTAGCCAGATTAAAAACGCTTAATGTTAATCTCATGGGGAAAAAGGTGAGAATGTGTGTATCAGAAAAATTAATGATCACAATTGTAAACATAATCCACAAAGAAACCTACCATCACTGCTACTATTCAACACAAAAGTGGAGGCCCTAGACAATATAATGAACAAGAAAAAGAAACAGAAGGCATAATAGTAGGAAAAGAAGAAATTTAAATGCCATTATGTATAAAAAATATGGTGGTCTACATAGAAAATGCAAGAGCATCTCCAAACAAATGGCTAAGAACTAAAAAGTTTAGCATGGTTGCTGGATATGAGATGAATATATAAAATGAATGAGGTTCTAATAAGTCAGAGCAACAATCAATCAGAAAATATAATATTATTCACAATGGCAAGAAAGACAATGAAATAATAAGGGATGAATTTTATAAAGGATATGTAATTTATAGAAACAATGACAAGATAACATTAAAGGACAAAGAAAACTGGAATAAAGGGTGCACACAATATTAATGCATCATTTCATAGACAGAAAAACTCCAAACTAATCTATATATAAATGTCTGTATATAACCTATATATTCAATGCAATTAAAATAAAAATGCTACAGCTTTTGTTTACAGAAAAAGACAAATTGATCCTAAATATCATACAGAAGAGAAATCTTCAAATAAAACAAAAAGTAATGCTGTTTACACTTCCTTATTGAAGTTGCTATATCAAAAAATAAAAAGAAAAAAAGCAAAAGTAATTCTGTGAAACAAGAACAAGAAAAGGGACTTTCCTGGCATCTATCAAGGTATACCATAAAGCTACAGAAACTAGAACAGTGTGGTACTGGTGCAGGAGCAGACAGCTAGGTCAGTGAGACATGCTGTGCTCACTGAGGAGCTCTGTATGAGATAGAGGAGACATCATACCTCAGTGGAGGAAGGATGCTCTTATTTAATAAATGGTGCTGGAATAACCAGCTGTCTATCTTGAAAAAAATAACTTAGATTGCTTTCTTACACTATGAACACAAAGAAATTCCAGAATAGATTAAAGCTTTAAGTGTGAAATAACACAATTCTAGCACCAGTACAAGAAAACATGAAAGCATATTGTAATCAACCCAAGGAGGTAAGGGATACTCTAAGAAAAGACATAAAACACAAAAATGAATTGATTTTAAAATATATGACCAAGATAATCCAAAATGTAAAAACTTCTGTCTGATAAAATCCACCATAAAATTAAAACACTAGAAGACATCTGCAGTATATATGGCTGACAGAACGTTAATAATAAATAAAGAACTTGGCTGGGTGTGGTGGCTCACACCTGTAATCCAGCACTTTGGGAGGCTGAGGTGGGTAGATTTTGAGGTCAAGAGTTTGAGACTAGCCTGACCAAAATGGTGAAACCTGTGTCTACTAAAAGCACACACACACACACACACACACATACACACACACACACACACACACACAAAGCCAGGATTGGTGTCATATGTCTTCAGTGCCAGCTACTTGGGAGGTTGAGGCAGGAGAATTGCTTGAACCCAGGAGGCAGAGATCACAATGAGCCAAGCTTATATCACTGCACTCCAGCCTGGCTGACAGGGCGAGACTCCATCTCAAAATAAATAAATAAATAAATAAATAAATAAATAAATGAAATAAAGAACTCTTGCCAATCAGTAAGAAAAACTGAGCAAAGAATACAACTAGGTAACTCATAAAGAAAAAATCTGGAAATGGTTAATGAATATTTGGAAAAAATGCTCAAATTTATACATAATCAGAACCACATCACTTAGAACCATAAGGTTAAACTATTTTACACTCATCACACTGGAAAAATTTAAAAAAATAAGAGTCTGTGTTTGGTGGAGATAAAAGGAAATGGGAAATTTTATGTACTGCTGGTGGAAATATAAATTAAGAACAAATGTTGAACGCAATCTGATAACACGTGGCAAAGTTGCAAATACATATAACCCACAGCCATCAGTAAACTACTAGATATTTTCCTAGACAGAAAGAAATAGCAAGAAATTTGTGCAAGATGTAGAACCTAAGTAGGCATCTGTGGCAGAAAAGATTAGTAAACTGAGATAATTCAAATTACAGAGATGTTAAAATAAAGCAACTTTGGATAGATTGGCATAAATGGTTTTCTAAAATAGAATTCTGAGAAAAAAATGCAAGTTAAATAACGATATGAACACTATGATACAATTTACAAAATTAAAAAAGCAATATTATATATTGTTCATGAAGCTATAACTTAGGTCATTAAGTATAAAAACACGGCCCAGAAGGATACACCAAATTAATGATAGCAATTGCATTTGTGAGGGATGGAAACGAAAGGCCAAGAAAGGGGCCTTCGGGTTTATCTGCAGCATTCTATTTCATTCAGTTCAAAATTATTAGAAGCAATTCCTGGACCGTAAAACATGGATGTTGGTCACATTATTCTCTGCACTTCTTTGTATTTTACATGTTTTGGAACAAGAAAGAAATTAATCTGATTCAAGATACAAGTGACAAGTTAGCAGTATCATCCTCTGAAACAACAACAACAACAAAATATTCCAAATGAGTATTCATATGAATAAATATGTCCAGATCTCCACCTTTGCAAAATAAGATTTAACCAAAAAAATTCAGTATGGATGCACACATGTGCAGACAGCGTAACATATCTGAATGGAAATTCAACCAGAAATTCTTTCTGTAAATATAAATTCTTGATATACACCAGAGTTGATTTACACCAACTGGCAAAATAAACAGATGTCAAAATCCTGGCATAGTTTTGGTGATAATGATGTATCTAGTGAGTTAAACAGGCTGAAAATTTGACCCATTACTTGTTGCCACAATAACTATGCCCAAACCTGGCCAGTGTGTGATTTTGCCTGCTAAAGTGGATCAGCAAATAACTGTGCATGTAAAACCGCAAACTCAAATTTAGAACCTAAGTTGAGGTGTTTTGGAAGTGACTGTAAGTTATTTGCAGAACTTAAACATGGGTTTCATTTCACTGTCATATTCGCACAACAATAAATCCTACAATACTGTAACAAAAGTCAAACTGACAATCAATATAAACAAATAACATGGAGACTTCTCAACAGCTATCTTCAGCTTCGAAACTGATTCTGAAACCATCATAAAATGTGAACCATTAATGAATATTGGTAGAGTGTACCCATTTCAAAGGAATATGAGATTCACAGAAACTAAAATTGCATATTCTGGAGTCTGTAATTAAAATGCAGTAATATGCTGTAGGAGTCCCTGCCTACAGTTTTGTAACTTCTTATAAATATTTTCTGCATGAAGTAGCAGTTGGTGTCCTCTTAGATAAAAATTTCTTAAACCTCAGAAAACATTCTTTATGTGGAGCTTTTCAAGTGTGATTGGATGTGCTGGTGTCTGCTCTGTGTTTATTTAAGGATGTCTTTATGTCTCATAGGCATGGCCCTAAGTTTGTCCTTTTAAAGGTAAAATTGTATTAAAATGTTTCTGAAACTGCCTAAGAACAGATGGCACCATTTAGGCAGATTCATTCAAAGTTAAGCACACATTTTAAACAAATGTGCTTTTGGCACTAGCGACTGTGCCTGTGGAAAAATTTTAGTGATGATTAATCATCTGCATGCAGAGAGCTTTCAGGTTTCCTATTAGCCTATGTATATCATTGTGTTAGGCAGTACAGAGACAAGAAGGAAAATAAGACCTGGATCTTGCCCTCAAGGAACTTATAATCTAGTCAGGATCTAAAGCCACAACGTGTGAAATGAGAATGAGCATGAAATGAGAAAGGCAAAATGTGCAGTAAAGAAAGTGATCTGTTCTTAGCAATGAACATGCTGATCCTCTAGGTAACATCTGAAAATGCTAACCATTCCTTCATTGTAGGAGCTCTCCACCGTCTGCCCACCACCTGGTTTCTAGGGCCAAATGCTCTCCAGGCACTTTCTCCTTCTCTATCGCCTTTTCCTTTACTCTGCTCTCTTCTTTTCAGTCCCTAAAACTAGGTGTGTCCTAAGATCTGGTGACCATATTTCTTCCGCTTAAAGACTCACCTTCTACAGTTCAAATCCTCATTGCATAGGCTCTGTAGTATAATAAAAGACACCCCAAAAATCTCAGAATTTGGTGTCAGATAATCTGGTTTCCAGTCCTGGTTCTGTCATTAGTGTTAAAAGCTTAAGCAAATTTACATGAAGTAATTTTGATTTTCATGTTTCTAGAATGTCATATGAAGACCTGCTTTGTTGCAGAGTTATATTAAACAGCAACTGAGTTACTGAGTGCTGACGTGATCTGCGAAGTGCAAAAGGTCATATTAGTGTCACTGTTGACATTCACTTCATTCAGATGCCTCCTGTGTCCTTATCCCCTACCTTAATTGTTCTGTATACCAGATTAGAATGTCTAACAGTTTGACTGATCATAGTCATTAAAATGCCTTGCCAGCATCTTGTACACAATGTTCCCAAAACAACAGTATCTCTCTCCCTCTGTGTCCCATGAATGGATATCCAACCCACTATCCTCCTGTTGGATTTCCCTCCACTTCTCTGTATCTACATCAGTAACTAAATATCCTTTACCTGTCACTTGGGTTACTGCAGTCTCTCCCTTCTAGTCTCAGTCCTCTTGTCCCTTCCAGTTGTCCTCCACCTCTAA